GAATGAGCCTTTAAGGAGCACCTTCTGCATGCAGGTGTTGTCCTAGGCACCAGAGGTCTAGCGGCGAGCCCTCAGACACGCTCCCTCCCCGAACAAGAGAAATTCACAGCGCTGAGTGCTGTGCGGGGAAAAGTAACAGCACGATGCAATAGTGACTAGGAGTGTGGTTCTGCCTTAGCCAGGGTAGGGAGGCCTGTCTCGGGAGGGGAGTTTCTGAGTGGTGCAAACAGTTAATACCCTCGACTGCTAACTGAAAAGTTGGAGGTTTGAGTCCACCCAGAGGCACCTAGGAAGGAAGGCCTGGTGATCTTCTCCAAAAAAAATCAGCCATTGAAAACCCTATGGAGTGCAGTTCTACTCTGACACACATGGGGTTGCCATGAGTTGGGGTTGACTCGATGGCAACTGGTTTTTTTGGGTTTTGGTCCTCTGGGGAGGTGACACTGGAGGTGAGATTTGAATGAGGAGCCAGCCATGCGAAGCTCTGGGGATGAGGGCTGTAGGCTGAGGGAACAGCAGGAGCCAAGGCCCTGGGGTGGGAATGAGCTTGTTGGGTTTGTGGGTCAGCAGCAAGGCCAGTGTGATCAAATGGGCTGAATGAGGGGGAGAGGTGGGCAGAGCCCAGGGCAAGGGGCCTTGGTGGCCAGAGAGAGAGTTGTTGCATAGCAACGTGACCTCTCCTAACTCCTCCCCCAGCCCTATGCAGCCCGTAAGGGCCTGTCCTATGGATGAACCAGCACTTAGTAAGCAGCTACTGTGTGCCTGCCCCTGGTTGGCACCTTATCCATGCTGTCTCACTGAGTCCTCCCAAGAGCCCCTCCTGGGCTGTCCACATGAGGTGGATAGAGAGATGTCAGGCTTGCCCACAGCCATATGGTCGAGGCATCCTGACCTGGGTGCTCCCCCTGAGGCCCTCTGTTAGCCCAGCCAGAAAAGGATGTGTCCACACAAGCAGACTGTCCGCTGGTTCGGCTCTTTAGAAAAGAGTGGGAAGGGTCGAGAGGAGACTCAGCTCCCGGCAGCTGCCCAGGCAGGCTTTGCCAGGAGAGCAGGGCGGGCTGTCCTGAGTCTTTGGGGTCAGGGTGGATGAGCACCCGCTCCAAATGGGATGGTTCCCAAGGGCCCGACTGTTGTGGGAAAGTGAGCCAGATTCTGGGACTCGAGGGCAAATGTGACAGTGTGAGAAGTTCCCACAAGGCTCATTTGCCCCCAGATAGTAAACCCAACAGATGCCTAGAATTCCACCATTAACACTTTCTTCATTGGTGGTAAGCACTGCCATCCACCCATCCACCCTCCCATCCATCCTCCCACCC